TTTCATAAAAGTTCACATTATTCAAGACATTATATACTTAACGATTAATAATCGTCGAATGAAGTTTTTTTTTGTTTTGCCACATCAATTTCGTTTCGTTAAAATGTTTATAATATTTGATAATTAAGCTCATTTAACATATCATGTACTTTTCAAGAGACAAAACTGAGGTGATATTAACGAATGTTTCATTCAATGATTTTCAATCGTTAAGAATATAATGTTTTGGAAGACGTGAATATTAATGAGTTCTATAATTATGATAGAAACACAGTTAATGATGGATAATAGTGAGTGACTTCAAATAAATTAATTTATGACTAATATCTTTGTGCTTTTTATTTATTATTTTTAATAAAAAATTTTGCTTGAAATACAATGTATGATGATCACCAAAAGAAAAAGGACATATTTAGGAATATAAAATATGTCTCATAATAATTGAGAATAAACTATCAACGACATTTTTCTTCATGTGAGAGATTGAATACTTATAAATTTAACCAAAGACTTTTGATTTTCTAAAATTTCAGTTCTCTATGTAGCATTGATGTTGAAATATATGAATGATATATTTCGTTTATTGTATATTATAAATATTTCTTTCGAAAATTTCTTCGATTTTTGTGCATATTTTTCTAACTGTAATGATATATTAAACACTTATGTGAATATTTGTGTTTAGTGCATTCCATACATTTTAGTTATTCATGCATCAGCATCTACTAATTCTGCAATAATCTGATGTGATGAACTATGCACGACGAACACTTCAAATTATTTTCAGACGATTTGAACTCAATTTCAATTCATTCATGATCATTTATTTTTTTCGTAATTAGAGATAAAATTTATTATTAAATCATTCTCTCGTGATTGTTTGAATAATAAAAATATTACTAAAGTTTAGTACAACAATGCAGATATGTTAATTTTGTACATGAATTTCAGTACTAATTTGTTTTTTTTCTTAACAGCTGAAGTTCTGAAATATTAAAGACCTTAGTTGAATTAAATGATAAAAATTTCAGTCTTCTACAATAAACAAAAGTATATTAAAAAAAAAGTAGTTTTATTTTAATTTTGCATGTATAACTGAAATATTCGTGCCGGTAATCATTAACAATAAAACATCATTAATGACTATGATTCCATTTTTATTCATAATAAACAATAACTTATGAAAAAATAATTAGAATGACGAAGTCAATAGACAGATGAAGGATAAATGAAAAATGAATTGACGATATAAAGTCGATTTTTTTTTCTTTTTCTTTTGACAAAGTTCGATATATTAGTAAGTAGTTGTTGAAAATAATCAGATGCTTGTTTTTTTTTTTAATGTTTCGTTTTATATTGAGAAACATGTTTTGAAAGCAAAGAAGAATATGTTTTTCTTTTTTTTTTATTATTTATTGATAGAGATATATTGTAATACGTTCATCATTTTGATTTTTTTTTTCTAATATGAGTTGTTTAAATTTTTCATGTTTTAATGCAATATTTGTACTATGATCTTTAATATTCAGATATTTTTTTTTGTCAATAGATCATCAAGTTTGATTATATTTGGATTATTTGTTAAAATTAGTGCAGTTGAGAAGTGGTAGAAATTTTGTAATATTTTTCGATTCGAATAATCGTTCATAAATAGAAGTTTATTCGATTTTAACAAGCTTGATGTACTTCTGAAACTTATTTTTTTTAAATTTTTGCATAAAAAGATTTGATGTTCGAATAAAATTCTTGAGAATTTCTATGTAAATCCACGTTCTTTATTAGCAAACAAAGTTATGATGGTTTCGATGGAGAAGAAGGATATGTAAAAATTTTCATTATCAAAACAAATTTGCTAATGAAAATGATGATGCGTTGCACACATTGAATGATAATAATGATGAAGTATGATGATGATGTTTTTTGAACTTTTAGCATTTGCATTTGGGTTATTGTGTATTTGAGAATCAATAAAATTATTATGATTGATATGTAAAACACCATTGGATATATTTTTCTTAGTAAGACTATGTTGTGATAGATTTTGAATGTTCGTATAATTGCGCATTTGATAATTAGAATACAGATAGGAAATTATTATTAATAGCTAAATATCTCAGAAATAGTGAAAAAAAAATAAATATATAAAATGACGATCATACTTTGTATAAGACAAAACATCAAATGATTAATTATAAAAGCAAAAAAATAAACGCTTCTTTTTATTCATTCACTTTTTCGATTAAATAGCAAATTCTATAACAACACTCGTTCTATAATAGTTTGCTCATTTTGTCAAAGAATGCCTTTGAATAGTGTATATCATAAATGCATTTTCTAAAGTCAACACGTAGTAAAAATAGACACATATGTTGGATATTAACGCAGCATGCACAATGCATAGAATATTATTTTTTTTTGTTTTTTATGACCATAATTAAATATGAAGAACTTGGTTATAAATATATACATGAATAAGAGAAAAAAAAACAGGACGAAAAGAAAAAAAAAGTAGTTTTCTTCTTTCTCAGCAATTGAATTATATCTTAAAAATGTAAGTATCATCACATAATCAATAGATTTGCAAATGTAAAATTCTATTCGTAGAGTTTTTGTTTTTACTTCATAGATTATTTAATCATTAAAAGTTAATATTTTGTTAAATCGAATATTATTAGATTTTGAGATAAGTAAAGAAAGAAAAAAAGTACATCGATATTTATGGTGGTGTTGTCATGTTGATTAGTAATTAATGAGACTAATCAGTGAAGCAAATCCAATATATTTGTGTAGGTTGACCATCAAAGTTGCTATTCTTTTTTCTTGTATGTTTTTAGCTTTAATATGTAACACAGTATTTAACTAAACATTTGATATGAATATAAATAGATTGATTAGAATCGATAGCTTGTATTTCTCCTGATGTTTCTGTATAATGACCGAGAAAAATATACATGTTTTTTGTTTTTTTTTTCTCTTATTCTTCTATGTTTTATCATAATTTTATGGTACTGTTTTTTTTCTATTATGCTTAGAAAGAAAATAAACGAAATAGAGAGAACGAGAGAAAACAATTGATGCGTATTATACATTGCTTTTTGATATGGTCGGAGTATTTATACTGTTCAGAACAGAACAAAAAAAAACTATTTTTGCTTATAGGCTCGTTTTAGCTATAATTTATGCTTGATTATTCACTCTTTGTACGAACAGCTTCTTGTAAGCTTTTGCTGTCTGATAGTTAATTTACTTTATCATAAATTACTACATATTAGTCTATTTAATGAAATCTTTCATTCTTTTATCATTAGACAAGTTTGTAATTAGTATGCAACTTTATTACTACCTACGTTCTAGCATACATTTTTAGACTTCCGGTAATGTAATTCATTTTTTTAAAATTAAGTAGTACTATAATCAGTCAAATATTTAGCGTAACAATTTATATTAGTATATAAAATAATACTAGTCACAAATACTATTTTTTTCTAAATAAGTACCGAGTCATGTAAGAAATAATACCAAACAATTAAGAAAATTTTCCTTGAGTATGAATAGATTATTTTCCCGTAACTATCCTGGAGATAATCATGTATATTATATATATATATTTCCTTCCAAAATACGATATTTACTCTTGACAATTGATTTTTAATACAAAAACGAAAAAATCTTTATACATTTAAAACTATAGTTTATTTGTGTTATCATTAATCATTATGATAAAATCTAGGCTAGTAACTCTTCCTTTTGTTTATCAATATTTATTGTCGATCACGCTTTTGGAAAGAATACGTACATACATAGCTATTATAAAGTAAAGGTGCGTACCTGTTTAAAAAGAAAAGGAAGAAAAAGAAAAATGTAGAGTCGCTCCTATCGACAATGACAGGAATGAAGATATGAATAATAACAACTAACACTAACGTAATTTGACTCGCTTTCTGTGTCCCCTGTCAGCTTTTCTCCTTGAGTCCCCCCCTCTCAAAAAAGTCACTTTTCATCAAAATGATCGAAATTAAGATAAATACAGGGGAAGATAATCCGTGATCTGTTCTCTCATAAATGAAAAATATTTTTGAAGACTTCCGCCATGCCTTACTCAAAAAAATAAGCCGTTTTTGAGAAAAATCGAGAATTTTTTTCATTTTTTCGCAGTACATGATATGTACAATGTGTAACCCAGATTTCTCAGTCTTGATACATGTGATGTATTTAAAATTACATTGGATAGAAAGAGCACGTCAAGACGCAGGGCATCACAGAGTCCTTTGTTTAAAATAAGTTTTTCTCTGTAATATTATAAGAAAACATCTTCGTGGAAAAACCGTCATTTTTTCCGAGTTTTTTGAGTCATTGAACTTGTGGTTTCTTCTTTCTGCTTAAAAATTAAGAACTTAAAACAAAGGACTCTGTAGTGTCCTGCGTTCTGACATGCTCTTTCAAACAAAAGACAATTTATTTACATCACATGGATCTGTACTAAGAAATTTGGGTTGCCAAATGAACTATTTTTGATTCTTGTTTGACAAATATCTCGCTCAAACGTCATAATCTCGGACTGAAAATTTCATATCATTTGAACGTTCCTAAACTGAGATTAATTTTTGACTGAGTCTTAGATAATTATAGGTTCGATATGATTCGATTATGAGTAGTTTATTACTTCTTTTATACTTATTATTCTAATCATCAATATATGAGAATATAATACAAAAAAAAGAGAGAATGTATTGTTTTTAAACTCGATCGAATTTAGATACGAAAATAGTTGTTTTTTTAGTTGAATGAATTTTTTTTTTGAATAAATAATTTTAATTTTAAAAGATTAAATAGCAGAAGGTTGATTTATGCTTTTCTTTTGTTTTGTTTTTTGACAAAAGAAAAAATCAGAAAGAGAAAGAGACAAACGACAAGCAATCTGACACGAATTTATTGTGGTTTTAGTGTATTTTCTTCGTTTAACTGATATGTAAACATCTGTACGCAAACTCATCTGCAAAATGTCTACCGAATTTACTAATTTAACGACTGTTAGCTGTCAAAGATTTAAATGTTCAGGTCGTGGTCTTATATTACCGTTTGGTAAATAGTTAAATCTTCTTTATTATATTCAATTATTTGTGTCTATTTTTTTTCAATAAAATAGCTATTGAAGCATGCATGTCAATATCATTAAGAGCCGTGTTGTACTTTATATTTTTACTTTATCTTTTTCTTGGTATTGCTATTATTGCTGATATATTTATGTCGGCAATTCAAACAATAACAGAAAAAAAGCAAAAAATACGTTATCCAAATCCAGAAAAACCAAAAGAATATTTAGCTGTTCAAGTTCCAATATGGAATGCTACAGTTGCTAATTTAACATTAATGGCACTTGGTTCAAGTTCACCAGAAATTCTTTTATCAATTATTGAAATAGTTGGAAATCGTTTTGAAGCAGGAGAACTTGGACCTGGAACTAGTAAGATATAATTTTTGTTTAGTGATATATTAAAGTTGAACAACCAATGCAGTTTGAAGTATGAAAAGTGTATGAAAAGAAAAAAGTTTACTTGTTTTTTGTTACCATTTCATCTACGTTTATTATTTATATCCCAATAAAAGAAGAATAAGTGTTTGTGAACTTTTGGACAGAAACAAAATAGAGATCTGCAGTTTTCACCATTCGAAAGAAGAGATAAATTTGCATCAAATCTCTTTTACACATTTATGACAAAGCTTTATCAGAGTGTTGAGCTAAGTTTTTGAAAAATATCATGTTTTCTAGAAATACATAACTCAACATTCTGATAAAGTTCGTGATAAATATGTGAAAGAAAAGATTCGATGCACATTTATCTCTTCTTTCGAATAGTGAAAATCACAGTACTCATATATATAGGAAGTTAAAAAATGAATTGGCATGCATTGGATATTGTTTAGAAGATAAGGTCTTTCTAAATTAAAAACTTACATGTCTACATATTCTATGTAAAAATATTTATAACTAATATCATTATTTTAGTTGTTGGTTCTGCTGCTTACAATCTTTTGATGATCTGTGCTTTATGTATTGTATCGATCAAATCTCCTGACACAAGAAGAATACAGTTGTATAAGGTTTTTATGGTAAATATTATTTCTTTTATATTAAAATATAATAAATAATAAGAATCAAAATAGGTCACATCATTTTTTGGGTTTTTTGCATACATATGGCTATTCATTGTTTTATCAGTCATATCAAAAGATGTTGTTGATCTTTGGGAAGCTGTCATTACATTTCTGCTGTTTCCAGTAGTTGTTTTATTAGCTTATATGGTAAATGCATGCATATACAAAAAAAACAAACAAACTTCTATGAACTTGAATCAATTTTTCTTTGTTTGTGTTTTTGATTAGGCTGAAAAGAATTTTTTTGCTTCAAAAGAAATTGACATGGGAGAAGAAGAACGAAAACTTATATTAAGTATAAATTCATCAATATTATTTTACTAAAAACTAACTAAATATATTTCATATTTATATTTAGAACCATCCGAAGTAGATCCAGCTGGTAATGTACGTATGTTTCGTCGAGAAGAACTTCTTCAATTTTTACGTGTAAGTAAATTGATTTGAAATTAGAATAAGTTTTTTTTATCTTATAAAATAATAAATAGGATCTTGGTCAAGCAAAAGATTTAACATTAGAAGAAAAAGCACAATTATTTGCAACTAAATTAAGTGAAAATATGCCTCGATCACGTATGCAATATCGAATACAAGGTGTACGAATGCTTACTGGTAGTAAATCTTTATTTCCCAATTTATCTGGCAAACTTCAAGAGGTTTGTAAATCAAAAACAGAAAAGAAATTTTTGCTTGTTTTTCTTTTTAATTTTCTACACTTAACTGATTTCTATAAACTTATTAACATATCTATATAAATATCACAACAGATATATACTACAATGGAACGACGTCATTCAATTGAAAATAAACACCAAACATCACGAATATTAGAAGAAGTTGATCAACAACCAATAATTAAATTTACTATAGAGGCATATGCCGTTATAAAAAATGATTAAAAAAATTGATGTTACAGTTAAACGAATGGATCCGATTTATGTCACTGCTTAATTCAGATGTCTATTATCACTTACACATATAGCAATAAATACCTAGGCATAATACAATGCAATATTGCACATTATACTCTATGTACATATACATATGAACTTTTCTAACTTGATATCTACGTCTTCTTCTTCACTTATTTAAATGATTTTTATCTAAAAGTTCAGAAATAATTCTAACTTAGCCTGGTTCGTTTAGATATATCAACAAGCTGTCAAACAGCAGTTACTTGATGAAACTGTTTCACCTGACCATGAAAATGAGAATCAAAGAGAAGTATCACCAAGGATTAATATTGATAATGATCAAAAAATAGCCACAATTGAGTTTGCCTCATCTAACTATGCTGTACTTGAACGCGAACAGCGTGTAACTGTCGATGTCGTCAGATACGGTGCAACTGATTCTGTTGTTCGTTTTCGGTAGGTCCCTTGAATGTTTAGTCTTTTTTGTCAGTGTTTACCCTTTTTGTTACTTGATGTTTTTTTTTCCTAAATATCCAAAAAACCTTCATGTTTAACATTGAGTTTTCTGAGAAGTATTTACAAAAAAAAAGGAAACAGGCTAAAAACTAATTTCTATAAACATATGCATTTTAACAAATTCTCCCGTGCACAATCTCTACTTGTTCAAGACATATATATATAGTTATATTTATGTTGATATTATTTATTTGTAGACTTGA